GACCAGAAAGGAGGACCCAGGAGCAATGGGAAGAGGAGAGAGGCAAGGGTGAAGTGGCACCGTGCACCGTAAGGGCACAGATGCAGGAGAAATTGCTCTGCCCCTTCTTCACCTTAACACAGGAGGGGTCACCACAGCCCCGAATTTACTCCCTCACCCTCAGGACAAAAAGGAGAGGTTTGGGGGAGAAGGGCAAGTGTGCTGGATACTGAAGGAGTTAGGGGAACAAACTTTGGTTGTTCAAAGTCATGAATCAGCAACTTAGCTCCATCCTCACAGGACTCCTGGGGGCTGCTCCCAGCCCAGCCTGAGAGCTCCAAATCCCTTCACTGCTCAGGAACCAAGAAAAGCAAAAAAAAGCCGCTGCAGCCTGCAGGTCTGAGCTATATCCCCCCAGTGTGGGCTTGGGAAGTAGGCAGGGAACTGGGAAGTGAGCAGTGAAGCAACCAGGAGCTTCAGGGTCTGAAATAAACAATTGTAGCAGGATAAAAACCACCAGGTACTGGGCTTGGAGACCCTTGGAGTGGGATGACTTTTTCCTGGCAGCAGCCTGTCACAGGTCTGAGCCCTGGGGAGGGGTATGAGCACTGACCCAGTAATAAGGAAATTGGTGGTTGTGCAAGGATAGGGGAGTTGGCCAGGGAGGGCAGGAGATGGGAATGCAAAACTTGGAGCGTTCTCTGGGGTGCTGGTGGGTGGGACAGGGTGGACAAGCAACACTCCCTTGTGGGGTTATTGCAGCTCAAAGTGGGAGTGGGAGCCTGGAGCAAAACGGACACAGAGCTGTGCAGCCACCAAAGAGGTTTAGCAATCAGGGCTGGACCCTCTCATGAACAACCCCTGCCCTGTCTGGCTTTTCTCACTCATTCCAGGAGCCCAGCCCTGCACTGGGCAGTGCCCTGTGAGCCCCCCATGACTCAGGGATGGCAAGCACGGCTTTCCCGGGGACAGAGAGCCCAGAGTGGGTTTCCCTGAACTCCCAGCAGGATTTCTGCTCTCATCGACTGCAAACCACAAAAGCAGCTGCCCAAAACCTCAGCAGAGAACCACCCTCACTCAAGGCCTGGCAGGAACAGCACTGCATCAGCGTGGGGGGAGACACTGGGGCTCTCCCAGGACCTGGGTGCTGGAACACACCACACTTATCCACTGGAGACTGTCCATACTTTTCATATTACACAATAAAAACACAAAAAAAGGAGAACTGCTGTGAATAAAGGAGGGAAAGAGGGAGCAGCAAAGAATCACAGAAAACAGACCCATCTCTGAAAAATACTCTTTTCTGCTTAGCAAACAAGCACTTTCTGTTTGCACCCATCAAACAAACATGCTTGATTTTGTTTTGTTTCGCAGCCAAGTTATCACATCTCGAAAATTATTTCAAGCACACAACAGGGGCCAAATAAATTTGCAAAGCAGGCTTAGGTAAACCGTGGCAGAGCTCAGTGGTGAAGCACACAGCCCTTTTCAAAGCCTGAGTGGAAACCATGGGAAACATCAGGGTTAAAAAAAGCTTTGAGTCACGTTGAACTCCGATTTGACTTTTAGTGTTGGAATCAAAGGGGGGAACAAACGAAGGCATCGCATCAACCCTGCCAAGAAAGCCAGAGGAGATGTACAGAGGAGCCTGTGAAAGTGGCCCCCACCCTACAGCCAGATCTGTTCCTATTCTGCCTGGGGCATCTGTGAATTTGGGGGGCACCAGTGAATTCGGGAGGGCACCACTCAGGCGCCTGTGCTGCTGAAGGGAACGTCAGAGCCTCGCCATGGAAAGCGCTGACTGATGCCAATTAAAGTGAAATCATAATCAAGCCATTTGTTTTGGTGCCGAGAGAGCTGCTCCAAAGGTCTCAGCAGTGCCTGGACTCGGTTCAAGCACTGGGATGGGTCTTCTCCAGCATGAACCGCTTGCTATTGGTGAGCAGATGCTGCCTGGCCATGGTGGGAAGGGATGAAGATCAGCCTCATCCTCACACTGTGGCCTTGTGAGATCCAGCAGGACAGCCAGCTCCCACCTTCACTTGCACACAAGCCCTCGGTGCAACCCCAAGATCAGGGACCAACACACCCCTCAGTAAAAACATCAACCTGTTTGTCCCAACACCCTCAACCCTTTTCCTTATTCCCGCAGGTTCTGCTGCGTCCAGGAGCAAATCCTGCCCCTCTTATCCCAAATAGTAGCTTTAAGCTACTAAGCGTGGATTTAAATTTAATCCAGTGATCTAAAGTGCTGGTACCAAAGACATGCCTGTACCCTGCAGCAGACACATCATGAGACAGACAGAAACATCTCCGGTGACTCTGGTCCTAAACTGATTCCCTACAGCAGATTGCACGGAGCAAGGCCTGTGCCCTTTACCATGGAGAAGTCTCCTTGCAGCCTTCAATCCAGCTTCTTTTCCAGCACTGAATTCACTCTGCTGGGAGGGACAGAGCTGAAAAGAGCCTCTTGGCAGGGCACCACTGCTTGACAGCAGCTTGGGCTCCTCAGCACCTGCCACCCCGATAAAATAACCTACTTCCAACAGCCAAGCTCTCTCCCTTGGGAAAAAGGGGGGGAACAGGACTTTCCAAGTGCTTCAGAGAAGCAGCAACTTCTGCTGCCGAGTTTTCAGCTTGCTGTCCCTTTTGTCATCTGTGACAAAACAAGAAGGGACCTCTAGAAACATCTCTCTCCTTCCAAATTCTTGGCTGCAACTCCCCATCCTCCCACCTTGCATGGAAATGAGTGGGATTGGATTAGACCTGAATTATTTTTTTTTTTCCCCTTCCCTGACTGCCACCCATGCAGGGTTGGGCAGGAGGTGGCCAGGAGCATCGCTGGGGTCTGCTGAAGCCTTTGTAGCAGCTATTGCTATTCTGCACAAGTTAACTCCTCCACAACAGATCGATGGGTGCGCCGGGCTGGGAGGGGAGCAGGCAGGAAGATTCATTCCTCCTTGATTTCCGCTGCTTTTCACATGCTCGTCTTCTCCCGGCTCCTGCCACAGCACAGCACGACTGGGACCAAGCAGGGGATGCAGCAACGCCCCGCTGCCAGCCAGGCTAACTGCTCCCAACCTCAAACCAGCAGGAAAACACCCCAAAATTCCAAGGCAAACCACACTCCTGCACCTCTCTGTCACCAAGGCAGTGCCGAGCCGGTGGCAGCAGCAAGCCATTAATTTCCAAGAGCAATGCCTGCTCTAGGGCAGAACAGCAGGAACATCATCTGCACAGTGGGAATGGCATCAGCACAGTCTGCGCATCCCAAGCCTGTCTGCTGGGGTTTGTATGGATGAGGCGCCTGCCAGGGGACACAGACACCCCTCGCCACCAGACCAGCTTCCCAGCTCAACTGGGATGTGCCCATGGCAGCCCTGGAGTGATAACACATTGGTGCCCTCCCTCCTCAGAGACACCTCTCAGGGACAGGATTTGTTCCCTTTCCCACCAAACCTCCCAGTCAGAAGGCAAGAATCCCTCCTGCTGACTCACCCCAGCGTCCCTTTGTTCTCCACTGACACTGGGAGACCACCCCATGCCAGGGCAGAGCACCTTGGTCCATGGTGGAGATCGAGATCCTCAATTTGTGCCTGAAACCTGTGCAGGCCCCCGCCAGAGCCTCTTCCAAGAAGTTTGCAGAGTACCCACCCTGCTGCTGCCACCCCCAAATACGTATTTTGCTGCCCAGACCCCCAGTAACCCAAACCCCTCCCCTTTTGATACCCCCACGGCAGCATCTGTAAGATTTTCAGCACCTGGGAGAACGAAGTGATTCAGGAAAGAAAAGTAGCTACTAGTTTTTTTTAAACCAAGCTCAGCGAGGCAAATTCCTAAGCGAGACGCTCCATCCTTCACCCTCAGCCACCAGTTTTCCAGCCCCTTTGCCCAGTCGTGCCGTGACGCAAGACAAATCCAGAGGAATGGCCCCAAGGCAGCTCCCTCCCTCCCGGGAACACGCAAAGGCTGCGGGGGGTGGGGGGACACACGAGAGATTTGGCTGCAAACAACGGAGCTGTAGGAAAATTCCTGCTGAAATTCCTTCTGAGGCGTTTTTTTTTTTTTTTTTTCCCCTGCCCTGGTTTGGCCCTGCTCCACCGGCTGGCGTGAAGCAGGAGTGCGGTGCCACCGCACACACCCAGCTGGCCCCGCAGATGCCGGTGTCACCTATGCATCGCTCCGGGGGAGGGAAGTCCCTCCCGAGCACGCTGGAGTTGCGAGCGCCGCGTCCCAGCGCTGCAATTAAAACCTGCCTTTTGATTTTTAATGTCCCTATCAAACATCCTCTGGGATGACTGCGCCCATCTGCTGCGAGGACAGGGACGAGCGTCTGGGCATAAGATGTCCCAGAAGTTACGCTGATCAAAAATTACGGATTCCTTGGCATCCCCTGCGCCCCCCCCCCCGAGTTGCTGCTGCAGGCGACAGGACCCCGGTGCGATGCCCAGCCCCACATCTCCCCCCTCCCCAAGGGGAGAGTCAACCCCCTGCCTCTGGAGCAAGGCGGGTTTTAAGGAGCGGAACATCCACCTGCCAGGAGCCAGCCCCGTCCTGCGCTTCCCTGTCCCAGCAGGTCTGAACGTGAGGAAAAGAAACAAAACCACACCGCGGGGGGGTCAACAACTTCCCCCTTTCCCCAGGCTGGGGTGGTCTGACACGCAGGAAGGCACCCACAGTGCTGCACCCCCGGAGCAGAGCAGGATTTATCCACACCGAACACGGCCGAAGTGCCCGAACCACGGAATTGAGCCCCTGCCTCGCGCCGCTGTGGGGCAGGGGGCCAAAAGGGAACCACACTCCCCTGTTTTTCATCCCCCAGTAACTTTCTCGGAGACAACTGTAGGGGCTGAGCCCAAGCCCAGTCCGCTGCCACTCCAACCTCTCGGCTCGCTGCCGTCCTGTGTCGCCTACCGACACGACGCATCCCCCCGTGGGGAGACCGAGTCACGTCCCCGAAGTCACCACGCAACCGAGACCCCCCCCAAAGCCCCCCGAGTCCCCGGTCCAGCTGCTCCTACCTGAGCGTGGCGCTCTCCCCTTGCCGCACTGTCACGTTGTCCATGGCTTTGGGGAAGGTGGCATCTCCGCTGCGCACGGGCACTCCTGCGGGCACAAGGAAGAGCAGCCTGAGACAGAGGACGACCAGGCACCTCCAGGGCAGGGC